TATTCTCTTTATTGTTTTTTATTGTATATATTTAATTCTCTCTCTCTCTTTTTTTTTAATAATCTGACTAGTGGTCTGTCTATTTTGTTGATCTTTTCAAAAAAAAAAAGAAAAAGAAAAAACAGCTCCTGGATTTATTGATTTTTGAAGGTTTTTTGTGTCTCTATTTCCTTCATTTCTGCTCTGATCTTAGTTATGTCTTATCTTCTGCTAGGTTTTGAGGGTTTTTTTTGTTTTTTATTTTTTATCTTGCTGCTATGCTTCTTTCAATTTTGATGATAGGGTGTCGATTTTAGATCTATCCTTGCTTCTCATGTGGGCATTTATTGCTACATATTTTCCTATAGAGACTGCTTTAAATGTGTCCCAGAGATTCTGGTATGTTGTGCCTTCATTTTTCACTGGTTTCAAAGAACATCTTTATTTCTGCTTTCATTTCATTGTTTATCCAGTCAGCATTCAAAAGCCAGTTGTTCAGTTTCCATGAAGCTGTGTGGTTCTGTGTTAGTTTCTAAATTCTAAGTTCTAACTTGATTGCACTGTGGTCTGAGAGACTGTTTGTTATGATTTCTGTTCTTTTGTATTTGCTGAGGAGTGATTTACTTCCCATTATGTGGTCAGTTTTAGAGTAGATGAGATGTGGTGCTAAGAAGAAAGTATAATCTGTGGATTTGGGGTCAAGAGTTCTGTAAATGTCTATTAGGTATGCTTGTTCCATGTCTGAGTTCAAGTCCTGGATATCCTTGTTAATTTTCTGCTTCGTTGATCTGTCTGATATGGACAATAAGGTGTTAAAGTCTCCCACTATTATTATGTGGGAGTCTAAGTCTCTTTGTAAGTCATTAAGAACTTGCCTTATGTATTTGGGTGCTCCTATATTGGGTGCATATATATTTAGGATATTTAGCTCTTCTTGTTGCATTGATCCTTTTATCATTATGTAATGTCCTTCTTCGTCTCTTTTGATCATTGTTGCTTTAAAATCTACTTTATCAAAGATGAATTGCAGCTGCTGCTTTTTTTTTTTTTTTTTTGCTCTCCATTTGCTTGGTGAATCTTCCTCCATCCCTTTATTTTGAGCCTTTGTGTATCTTTGCCTGTCAGATGGGTTTTCTGGATACAGCACACCAATGGGTTTTGCCTTTTTATCCAATTTGCCAGTCTGTGTCTTTTGATTGGGGCATTTAGTCCATTGACATTTAGGGTTAATACCGTTATGTGTGAATTTGATACTACCATTTTGATGCTAGCTGTTTATTTTGCCCATTAGTTGATGCAGTTTCTTCATTGTGTTGATGCTTTTTACCATTTGGTATGTTTTTGGAGTTGCTGGTACTGGTTGTTCTTTTCTATATTTAGTGCCTTTTTCAGAAACTCTTGTAAAGCAGGCCAGGTGATGATGAAATCTCTGAATACTTGCTTGTTTGCAAAGGATTTTATTTTACCTTCACTTATGAAGCTTAGTTTGGCTGGGTATGAAATTCTGGGTTGAAAGTTCTTTTCTTTAAAGATGTTGAATATTGGCACCCTCTCTTCTGGTTTGTAGGGTATCTGCTGAGAGATTTGCTGTTAGTCTGATGGGATTCCCTTTGTGGGTAACCTGACCTTTCTCTCTGGCTGCCCGTAGCATTTTCTCTTTCATTTCAACCCTGGTGAATCTGACAATAATGTGCCTTGGAGTTGCTCTTCTTGAGCAATATCTTTGTGGTGTTCTCTATATTTCCTGGACTTGAGTATTGGCCTGTCTTGCTGAGTTGGGGAAGTTTTCCTGGATAATATCCTGCAGAGTATTTTCCAGCTTGGATTCATTCTTTCTGTCACATTCAGGTACACATATCAAATGTAGATTAGGTTTTTTCACATAGTCCCATATTTCTTGGAGACTTTGTTCATTCCTTTTTACGTTTTTTTCTCTAATTTTGCCTTCTTGTTTTATTTCATTGAGTTGATCTTCGACCTCTGATATCCTTTCTTCTGCTTGGTCAATTCAGCTGTTGAAACTTGTGCATGCTTCACGCAGTTATCACACTATGTTTTTCAGTTCCATCAATTCACTTATATTCCTCTCTAAGTTGTTTATTCTTGTTAGCATTTCATCAAATCTTTTTTCAAGGTTCTTAGTTTATTTGCATTGAGTTAGAACATATTCTTTTAGCTCACAGAAGTTTCTTATTACCCACCTTTTGTAGCCTGATTCTGTCAATTCATCACACTCATTCTCCATCCAGCCTCGTTTCCTTGCTGGTGAGGAATTGTGATCCCTTTTAGGAGGAAAGGTGTTCTGGTTTTGAGTGTTTTCAACCTTTTCGAGCTGGTTTCTTACCATCTTTGTGGACCTATATACCTTTATAGTGGATTTATCGTCCTTATAGTTGTTGACTTTCAGATTAGGTCTCTGAGTGGACATTCAGTTTGTTGATGATGAAGTTATTTCTTTATTTCTTAGTTTTCCTTCTAACAGACTGGCTCCTTTGCTGTAGGACTGCTGAGGTTCACTCCAGGCCCTGCTTGCCTGGAGATCACCTGCAGTGGCTTCAGAACAGTAAGGATTGCTGTCAGTGTCTTCTTCTGTTATCTTTGTCCCAGAAGGATATGCACCAAATGTCAGTCTGAGCTCTCCTTTATGAGGTGACTCTTTGAATATATGGGGGTCAGGGAGCTGCTTGAGGAGACAGTCTGTCCTTTATAGGAGCTCAAGTGCTGAGCTGTGAGCTCTGTTGTTCATTCAGAGCTGCTGGGCATGTATGTTTAAGTCTGCTGCAGCAGAACTTAAAACCCCCTTTTTTTTCCCCAGGTACTCTGTCCTGGGGAGTTAGGGTTTTTTTTTTATGAGTTTCTGTTGTGCTGCTGCTTTTTTTTTAGGACTCCCCTGCCCAGCGAGGAGGCAGCCTAGTCACTGTCTGCTTACAGAGGCTTTGCTGAGCTGCTGTGGGCTCCATCCACCTGCTGTGTGAACTTCCCTGCAGTCCTGTTTAATTGGGTGTAGTTAGAACTGCCTCGGCAATGGCAGCCCACCTCTATAATGGCAGGCTCTCTCTGTAATGGAGAACTGCCTCGGCAATGGCAGGCTGCCTCAGCAATGGCAAACTACCTCTGTAGTTGTGGACTGCCTTGGTAATGGTGGGTGCTCCTCCGCCACAGAGCTGGACTGTCCCAGGTTCAGCTGTGCTTGCTGTGAAACTTTCAATCCAGAGCATTTCTTATTGCTTTTGGGGGTGGGACCAGCGGAGCCTGATCACCTGGCTCCCTGCCTCAGAGCCTTTTTTTTTTTTTTACTTGAACGGTAGACTCTCTCCCAGGTGTTTGTCTGAAAAGGTGCCAGGATCTGTGTGATTTCCAGTGTGGCAACCCACTGCACTGGCTGAAACAGCCGCACTGAGATTTGTGGTGCTTTTTTGCCTGGGAATCCTGGCCTGGCTCCCTGTTTCCATACCCTTTTTAATCAGATGAATGGACAACTCTGTCTCCCAGGAGCTCCAATTGCCAGCTAAAATGGTGTCCAGACCTGTGTATTTTGTATGGAGAATCACTGCACTGGGGCGCTGGCAAAACAGCAGCACAGCGAAAACAGCCGTGGCGGCCAAATAGCTGCTCTGGCCAAAACAGCCACACTGGCGACCTGTGGGGCTCCTCTGCCTGGGAATCTCCTGGTCTGTGGGCATTAAAAATCCATCTGGAAATGAGGCGTCCACTCACCCTCTGCACTTTCGCTGGAAGCTGCAATCGTGAGCTGCTCCCAATCGGCCATCTTGGATCCCTCCCATGATGATATTTTCTAAAATGTGATGAACTTGGTGCTATCAGCAAAATATTGATTAAGTAATAGGATTTTATTTTTTCACCCCTTCATTATGTGACAAGTTATAAGAAAAATATTCAAGACATAAATGCCAAATGTGGAAAATCCCTCATTAGCATGACGTTTCTATGTTCCATGTAAGATTTTTCTCATACCATAATATTTATATTAATCATGAGAACTAATTAATTTGTTACTGACATAAGTCCAACAATTACTATTATTATTCAGATTAGTATCCTGACAATATCTTTCTTACAGACTTACCAGAGTGAAAAAATAATGCTGAATAATGGAATAGTTAAAATTTTGAATTAAAAAACAAAGTTAAAAAATAAAACAATCAGCAGAATGTCATGACAAAATTTCACTAAAACTATTTCATGGATGAGTTTGTGTATTGTTATGCTTTGTTTTCCAACAAGACAAATTTCTCCCCTGCATCAATCGCTTATGCATCAGCCATGCCACTAGGTGTCAGTATAAGCTAACTGACCAGCTAATATCTACATATAACTGATACCTTGTTAACTGAATGAAAAGGTGACATTCTCCAGATATTTTATAGAATGTATAATTAAACTGTCTCCAAACTATAAATAATGCTCTTTTATATTTTTAGCCTAAAAGTTTTTGTATTTTTCTAAATTAAATTTTATTTAAGATTCCCAGAACAGTTAGTTGAAATCTCTAAGAGTAAATTAGAAAGTAGGATTAGGCAAAAGATCATGTTGCATACCAATTTAAAAAAGGAAAAATAGAGCCTCCATCAAAAAGATCAGTCCTAAACTTATTTATAAAAAATATATTAATGTAAAATCTAGCTAACCAGATAGGTTATTAGATAAAACATAAATTTTTAATATCAAGCCACAGATTTCTATCTGCTAAATATAACATATAAATCAAACTGCTAAATTTAATATGAAATACATTGTATAAATATTGGACAGATCTACTTAAACAAACTGCACTGATCACAAATTAGGCAAAAACTTTTGGGTTTCCTTATATGCTCAACAACTGCAAAGATCTTTAAGTAAGATGCTGTGTGGTTCTGCAAATATTTCACACAGTGCTTCAGTGAAATTTCACTTTCTATGTTTGGAGATTTATTTGCAGTTCTATTATTGAACCAAATTCTCCAGAAGAGAAACCAGGATCTTGGCCAAAAAGAGAAACATGACTCTAAATTGCTGACCTGTAGAATGTGTGGCTTGAAAGCCTTTTCTTTGAACAGATGCATCAGAAACAAACCGAACAAACATTTTATTTCCAGTAGCCACAAGGGGATCTGGTATGTTGTTGCCACATAGTCGTCCAAGAATTGGTGACTTTTCTGTTTCTCCATCAAATACTTCTAAGTGGTCATAAGCACATTCTTGATGCTGCTCAATCTCAAATTCACTAAAGGCCTATTTTAAAAAGAAGAAATAAAAAATTTTTAAAAACACAAATCACTCAAAATGGAATAATTTTTGGGAGAGAAATACATATCAATAAATATGTTCAGGGCATGCTAATAATTTAATACATTTATAGTATTATTGAGACAAGTGTGAAATCAATAGAATAGGTAATATCTGAAAAGACATAATGAGGAAAACAATGTAATAACTTCATATGAAATTCTGCCAATTGGCTATTACAACCACTTCTACTATTGCAATTCAATCTCAGAATTTAAACAGATGTTAACAAAATCATTTTTTCTGAATTTCATCCAAAGAATTCATCAGAAAATTTCAACCAATCATAAGATTGGTTCCTTCTGAGTTTGATGATCATAAAACTCATTGAACATCATCCTATCCTTGAGCACTTAAAGAAAATTTGATAAAGTATCATTATATTTTTACAAAACTTAAATACAACAAATCTTCATAGCACAAATAGAAGAATAACTTTCAGTAAATATTTATTTAGTTCTTACAAACTGTATCAGTATCAAACACTCATAATACTTTAGGCTAGATATTTTTAATTTACTTTTTATGTAGATAGTACATTTATTTTACTATTGGGCATCTTGGAGAATTTGAATGCTTTGCTGTTGTTTGTGACATTTAAAAACAATTCTAATTTATCTGTGTTGTTATTTTCATCTGTGTGACTTAGCAAATTTAAAATAAATAATAATTACCTGTATAACACACTAAAGATCACAAATGAAAGTTTAATTGAGATGGACTAAAAATAGTATTGTCCAAACTATTAATAATTACATACATTACAGGCTATTTGTCATTGCCAAAGGCTTTTTCCTTTCCCCAGAAAAACAATCATGCATTGAACAAATAAAGGCATCACTCTTACTTAAGTCTATAAAACAAAACTAAAATATTATAAAGAAAATAAACATAAAAAATTATGAAATTTGTTTCAAACATTGTTAATTTGCTATAAGCCCTCCAACAAAATATTGGCTCATAAACTTTTAATATACATATTTTCTTTGATACAATTCTACTGAAGTGATCGTAATGTTCAGTCTAATTGGAGACATACCAAAAAAAAAAAAAAGACTAAAATGGTTCTTTCTCAGTGTAGACCCACTATCTAGTCCATGACACACTACATCACCTACTATTACTTCTGACTTTGGAGGAGTAAGGAAAGAAATGAAAAAAGCAATTCATATTAACTAGGAAGTAGGAGAAAGGAATGGAGTTAAAGAAAGAAAAGGGAAGAAAAAAAGCTGATCTCTCATTTGTCTCTTTCCATTGCACTTTACTTAAAAAGTAGAAATAAAAAATGTTATAACCAATAAGCCTTAGAGTAATTGTTAGTTATAATCATTATGGGTGAAAAGGAATACTTGCTTCATTTGACCAAAGACACTGCCTAGGACAAAAAGACTGAGCATAGTGCAAAGAATCTCACTGGAAACAGAAGACAGTGTGAGGAAATACAGTGAACAAGGAGACATCAGTAGAGTTTATTTATCCTGAAGCACAGCAGGCAAAGCAGGTGATTACTGAAGGAATGTGTCACTTATTAATCTCTGTAACCCAGTGAAGTATATACACACTTCAAGGGATATAGAAGATTCTGAATAAATATGTGGATGTCTGCATAAATCTGTCAATGTATTTACCCAAAACCTAGCTGATGTTTATGGCCAACCTCAAGTATAAAAATTCTACAGACAATGCTACTAAATCTCATTTTCCATCTCTCATGAGGTTGCAGTCTGCTTTTATTACCATTGTGTACATACATACATTCCTAACATCAGTTTGTAATCAATAAGATACTACTATGAGAAAATTGACAACTGTACCTAGTGTTCTGTATTAAATATGAAACCAAGCTTCTTAATTATAAAACTAATGTTATTTCAAGAGGAAAAACATTGGTTCAGGAAAAGAGTATCTGAAAAGCAATGTATGCTGAGAATTATTTCTTTCGATTGTGATTTAAAGTCATTAATCTGCAAATATAAAGAGTAAAGAAGCAGGGAAACCTACTGTGTAGAAGCGAGTATTTTAAGGAAGATGGAGGAATGACATTCTAAAGTATTTGCTATAAGTAGTAGCTAAAGCCAGGATCAAAATTTACAGACCACACATGTTCATTCCATTGATTGGTCCATTGAAGACTGAATGAATGAGATGAATAGGTGACTACTTTTCTTCCTAATGAAATCCAGGATATCTGGTATAAATAATAACATTTGTTTAACAGAATGGAGCAACACCACACAAAATGGCATTGAGTTGGTGGGCTGGGGGCCATACTGAAATCTGGTCTGGAGCCAACTGGCTACAGCTCTTTATCAAATTACTAATGGAATCAGACTGAGTCTGTAAGAGTCAAATTAGTCAAAGGTTTCTAGCTGACATATACTCTAGTGATGCAAAAAACTCTCATTTATTGAGATATTAATGAATTTTCTTCTTGGAATAGGTAGCAACTTGTTAGGTCAAATGTAAAGTCTGGGTGGTCCTTTTCCAGAAATCAGCCTGAACCGAAAGCTCCACCACACACAAGCAAAGGTGTGACTAATTCACATGTGGAGATTTCGGAAATCTGCCTTTTGTAGACTTGTAGAGATACTCACATAGAGAACCTTCCATACACAGGGACTTTACATCAACACAGAATATTTCTAGGCCACAGAAATGTATTATAGAAACTCTTTGGAAAGAACAAACCTCCAAAATATATTTCAGAGTTCACAAGGATAAGGTGTAATATGCCATTTATTACTTTATTCTACAACACAATCTGAACTGTGAATCTCAATATCTCAATAATACAGAATGTGCACATTTCCAGCCACAGAAATGTCTCCAGAAGACACTTAGGTTCCCAAAAAGTTATGTAAGTTCACAGTGGAGACAGAATGGCCAGCAAGGAAGAATGTATGAAGCTGTAAGGAACTCTGATTTCCACTAAAACACTGCCTTCCGTTGGTAGACTTAAATATTTTTTTTAAGTGTTTAAGACTTTATAAGTATTTGGGTATTAAAAAATTTAAAACATACTCATTCCATGGTTATATTTCTGTAATTTTAGGGTTAATAATCTAGGTTCTAGAAAGGCCAAAAAACAAGTGAATAACCATGGGCCCTGGTCGTAAATCCTAATGCATTTCCCACAAGGAAAGCAAGCTAAGAGATTAGGAGTCGAATTCAAAAGAAATAAAATTGAACTCTCATTGTAGGCTGTAGAAATAATAACTTTGTTCCTGGAACACCCAAGCAAGCCTAATCTACCTGGCTGGCCCCTGGCCACGCTTCCAGATGCTGTTCACTCATATGAACATCTGTAGAGGTTCTTTTATTGAAAATACTGGCAATCGCTAAAGAATGAGTCCTTACAGAGTAACTGAATATGTTCACAAAGAACAAGATAATACAATGATAGCACTTAATGCAGAAATAAAATTTAGCAAGGGTGAACATTTAAACTAAAATATTAAAGAGACTGATGCAATTTGAGCAACTGAAAGAAAAGCTTTTGAGGTTCCTAGTCCAGCTATCTTTCACCTTTTCCTGTTTTTGGTAAAAACTGTCATTTGGTTTCCCACAAAATATTTGAAGGATTAGAGGCCACCGGAAAAAATGGTAGTGTGGAAATACAAACCTCAGTCTCCTGATTCAAAAGAACATTTCTTCTCCATGAGTCCTCTATAACTGTGATCAAATATATTTTTATGGATTTATGATGGATAACTATATAATAGTTGTAGATGTTTTTGTGTTTTAAATATTCCATATATGAAGCTAAAATTTGTAACTATATGTCATTTAGCAAAACTCAAGGATATGATAAATCAACTAAAATGATATAATCACCTTAGCTTATTGCAGTATGCTCCAATGCCTAGAAATTCGTTTGTTAGTATTTTGTTATGAAAGAACATTAATTCAAAACGTAAAAAAGGCACCTGAAATTTTAATGATCAGTTGAGTCTTTCAGAACCAAGACAGGATAAAAATATACTTGTACTTATACATTTAGAATTTTGTCCCTTTTATAGCAAGAAGAGTTTTTCCCCCCAAGCATCTTTTGACTGCAATTTCTTTGTACTTTAAAGCTGTAATCGTGCAGTCAGTATCCCATGATTAAATAAAAACAAACATGCATAATAAAAACAAAGCAAATGTGTTTTTTGTGTGTATCTACTGTAGCACATTGCCAAACATTTAATGTTTTAAAACAATACAAATTTTTTCTTCTACAGCTGTGGAGGTCAGTAGACTAAATTGGAAAGGCAAGGCTATGTTGTTTCTAGTCTAATTCTCCTCCCCTTGAATCCTAGCCAGCCTTAGTGATTTGCTTTACCAATAGAATGTTCTGAAGTAATGTTCACGGCTTCAATGGCCACTTGGGACACATTGGGGATACAGGACTGACAGTCAAGGGTCTGGTTCCTTTAAGACCACCATGCTGCAATGGTTATGTGTAGGTGTTATGGTTGTCCCAGCTAAGTCAGCCTTTTAGCCCTCCCCATCAAGGTGAGAGACATACAATTGCAGCCATCTTGACCCTTCACATATGACCCCAGGTGAATCAATCAATATCACAATAATAGAAAAATCACCAGCAAATTACTACTTAAATACTGATGCTACTCTCTCAAACCATGAGATATAACAGTACTTCTTTTAAGCCTTGAGGTTTTGGGATAGTTTGCTATGCAGCAGTAGATAACCAGAATAGTGCATAAAAGATATTAACTGTATTATAATGCCTAAGTTTCAATGTGAATCTAAAATAAACTGATTCCAATAGTCCAGTTTTCATACTAATGCACAATAATGCATACTAGATTTAGATAATCATACTGTAAACGTAATCTGCATATGGTGAATGAACACCATGCACACAAATGCTCCTATCTCATAAGGGCACACAGGAATTTTACTGTAATTCCTATTATCTATAACTGCTACATTATCTAAAT